TATGTTCTCATCCTGCCACTCCTCCAGTTTCTCTCCTCTCTGGTCTATATGGTCATATCCCCAGCTTTGTGAGTGGCTGTTAAAGTCTCCCACATTAGAATCATCTTTTCTTCCACTGGGATTGTGTCTAAAGCCTGGGACGATCACTTGGGCAGTAATAATTGATTAGGTAGAAGTCTGCATTTCCAGTTTGTAGTTTCAGAATCTGATATTCTGCTCCATCCATATATACTTCAGTCTGGCACGCAGTGATATTGTTCCTCACAAGAGTCAATATTCCCCCCTTTTTCCTGCCTTTCCGGTCTGATCGGAAGCACTGATAACCTCTGATTTTGAAGACTGTGTCTTCAGTGAGGTGGGTTTCTTGTAGACAGCATATATGAATCTGTTCCTCATTTAGAATATTTTCTAGCTTTTATTTGTAATCCCCTCTGCATTCCAGTGCATTAATTTGACTCCTTTCTTAGTTCGGCCAGATGCTCTATTCTCACGTCCCCTGGCTTCATTTGAAATCAGAGTCAATCTGCCTGATAGTTTCCTCTACAGGATTGTAATCTGTGGGATTACGGTTTCAAGGATGACAATTAAATAGATACAAAATCCGGATATCCCGTTTAACAATATGGCCGGGTAGCACAGTCATACTTTGGCACATCAAAACGGTTACGAAGTAAAATGTAGTCTATTTGGGTCTGTGCTATGTAAACAAAAAATTAAGGATCCTTTTCCACGTTTTTAGGAGTATAGGGTTAGACCTAAATTTTTATAGACCAATCAGCACAAGATGGGTGATGTGGTCAACATCACTCCGGCCGCCTCTACTCTCCGAGACTGCACCCGGTACCCACTCAAGGTTGGGTCGACCTGAGAGCCAGGGTCATTTTTTTTTTTTAAAGTCCGGCTCCTTCAGGAAGCGAACCCACGACCTTCCGATCCGCGGCGAGCGTCTAGCCGCTCCGCCACGGGGACTTCCTCTGTGCTATGAGCAGAATATAAAAACTGAATAATCACACAATGGTCTGAAGTTGGTCTCTGCACTCGTGTATACCCGTGAAGAGGCAAACACAGGCAAGTTAACGCATCTTTCAAAACTAACTTAGTTTTTGATTAATACAGACCCAATATTGCCAAACACAAGCATGTTCACAAAGATATCCTATATCTACAGAGCCAAAATTATTTTATTAGTATCACGTGATTATGACAAATTAAGTTTAGAATGAAAAATGGGTGGTGGCAATTGGAGGAGAAGGTTGTGATGGCATAAAAATATAAGAAGAAGAAGAAGAAGAAGAAGAAGAAGAAGAAGAAGAAGAAGAAGAAGAAGAAGAAGAAGAAGAAGAAGAAGAAGAAGAAGAAAAAGAAGATAAAGAAAAAGAAGAAGCCAAAGGAGGGGAGGAGGGCGAAAAGAAGGAGAACAAGTAGGAGGAGGAGGGGAGGAGGAGGAAGAGAAATATAAGAAACAACGGAAGAAGACGATAAAGTAGCAAAAGCAACAGCATCAGCAGCATTTGTAACCACCAGAAAAACAAAACCTTGAAACTACCAACACACACAACTCAGTCTAGTAATAATGAGCAGTAAAAGAAAGACTAATAGACTAGACAAATTCATCTCCGTGGGAGAGATTACTGTTCTCAGTCTGAGAATCCCACAATGAACATAGACGTTCCCAAGCCTTGCAATGCCGTATTTATGTACCCATGTAAGTATATATAATGATCTAGACCACATGATTAAGTGCCTGAGATATAATTGATCCCTTGGGGTGCCATGTTGGCAACAGAAATGTAGCCGGGTGCATTTTTATTAATGATCGCGACCTGCCTTAGACGTGGGTAAGCCCGGGCAAATAGCAGGTAATCGGATCTCATTTCTTGGCGCATTGATCACTTCTAGACAGTTTCTGTGTTTTTTTTATGTGCATATTAGGGCTTGCAGGGGCGCGCATGCATTATACGCACACATACACGCCCGTACACTTACGTATACACACACATTCACACGCATGTACAACTTAAGCATACAGGCACGCTTCGGTATTTGTGAATCTGTATGTGTAGGTTGATGGTATAAATATATAAATACATACCTTCCTTTATATATATAAAATACATACACACACACACACACACACACACATACACAGACAGACAGACGACAGACAGACAGACAGACAGACAGACAGACAGACAGACAGACAGACAGACAGACAGACAGACAGTCAGTCAGTCAGCCAGCCAACCAGACAGACAGACAGACAGACGGAGGGACGGGCGGGCGGGCGTGCTGGCAGACAGACAGACAGACAGACAGACAGATAGACAGACAGACAGACAGACAGACAGACAGACAGACAGACAGACAGACAGACAGACAGACAGACAGACAGACAGACAGACAGACAGACAGACAGATAGACAGAGGGACGGGCGGGCGGGCGGGCCGGCAGGCGGGCGGGCATACAGACAGACAGACAGACAGACAGACTGATCCGATACAGAGGCAAACACATATAGATATGTTCTTGTATTTGCATGTAATAATGTATGTTTATGTCTACATAAACTCATATGTAAATATGCATGTACAGGATAAATACAAAAGCTAACTCGCCGATTTAACTGCAAGAGTTTTTTTTTTTTTTTTTTTCGATACTTACTTTTATTAAGCATAGCCTTTTACCGTGTGCCCATAAGTTTTCATCGCCGTACAAAGGGTAGGCCCATCTGAAATTTGTCTAAGATGTGTAAAAACTGCTGCAGTAGATATTTATTTAATTATATTAATACAAAAAGCATTTTATCAGGATTTAATTCACAATCTCCAGTGTCGTTTTTATGTGTAGTAACGGTTTCTAGAGAGACGCGTGATAGCTGGGTGGAAGCTTCACATCATTGCAGACGATATTACATGTCTGATAGCAGATTTCTGATGTGCCTAATGGCAAAATGATATAGTGTCTTATTAATTATAACAAAATATAAAAATAACGTTTCTCCCCAGAAAATCTCCTGGGATGGTTCATTAATTGCATTACGTCTTCTTCTTCTTTTTATTATTATTATTATTATTATTATTATTATTATTATTCTTTTTCTTCTTCTTCTTCTTCTTCTTTCTTCTTCTTCTCATTTTTCGTCTTCTTCTTCTACTTCTTCTTCTACTTCTTCTTCTTATTCTTCTTCTTCTTCTTCTTCTTCTTTTTCTTTTTCTGCCTGTTATAATCCAATTGAGAATATTGCCCCTAATTAAAACAAGAAAAGCTTCTTTTTTATTCCATCTACTCTTCCTGTCCTTCTTCCGCTTATTAATTCTTATTTTCGTAATTATATTTCTCCGTTTATTTCAACTGCTTCCTTACTGCCCTCCTCATCTTTTTTTTTTTTCCAGTTCCACGTAAAAGGTAAAAGTGAAAGATCGACTTCATTTGCTTCCGGGCTTTTCTCCTATGTCTATATGACTCATTCTCTCTCCACGGAACAGCTAGCTGCCTCCGAGAACGTCTTCAAAAGCACGATCTTCTCCCTTCTTCTGGCTCGATCTCTCAGTGATCTCCGTAAATGTTGCACTCGTGAACTGAACTGGCCGTTGTGAATCGAACCCACGACCTTCAGAGCGCGAGGCAAACGGCTTACCACTTTGCCCCGCAGATTCCGGGAAAAAAATATTTTCTAATTATGACATTACCAGGTGTTTTCTATTCGTAGTAAAGTAAAGATCCTTTTTTACGCCTCTAGGCGCATTAGGCATATGGGAAGAGCACCCATATTTTTTTTTTTTACAGACCAGTCGGCACTAGGTTGGTAATGTTCTAGATGTTTTCAGTGTTGATTATTCGGCTCCAACAGCATTTCATCAAATCCAGGGAATGTGCATAGTTTCTTTCACATGCTTCACATTAGTGATGATGTCATGTTATTTTATTCCCTCTCTGCTGCTTGGACATCACTAGCAAGACAGGTTAGAAAGAGAGCAAGGAGAATGCAGAGATAGCAATACATGGATGGCTTGGTCACACGGATGGGTCGAGACGGTATCACTAGCCTGATCCGTGCTTCTAGTGAGGTTTGAGGTTTGAACAACGGATCAACATCATAGCACACGGCTAGTAACCCATAAGTGCTCCGTTCTTCTTCTAACTCGAGTCTGAGTCCAAAGAAGCTAAACACAGTGCACAGGCTCTGTAGCACCAGCTAGGATCCTGAAATGCTTTAGGTAGATTTTTAAATATAAATGTTTGCCCGGGCAGCGCCGTATGGCTACTCTTTTTGATTTCCAACTGCCAAGGGATTTTTTACGTACGCAAAATGCACACGGGCGTCCGATCTCACTACCCAGAGACCTTCTAAATTAATAGAAGTTCAAGTCCACGTGGAAAAATCCCAGCCCTTACCATGGATTGAACCAAACCTCAAGCACTAAGGGCAAGACAACTATGCTTCGAGACCACGCATTTCTCTTGCTTCTAGTAATGGTTTTGTTTTTGGGAAAAGTCTAAGGATGACTTCTATATACATCGGCGTGGCACACGATGAACCTTGAATTCTGAATTTACTCACCCTTAATTCTTCCTTTTCGATGTTGGGGAGAACATGCTCTTAGTATTCATTTGCTACTAATTTTATCTAACCATTCTTTCCTGTAGGAGAAACCATGGTGTAGCAGCTAGGCATTGGCCTGTAGATCTAAAGATCGTCGGTTCGGATCCTGACCAAGCCGAAATATTTTTTTTTAAATGACCGTCGCTCCTAGTATTAAATTGATACCGGGTAGTGTCTTGGGAAGCAAAGACGACCGGTGTGCTGTTAACCACATCACCCACCGAGTAGCGATTGGTCTATAAAATAAAGGGCTAGCCCCGTGTGCACAATAGGCGTGAAGGCGTGAAAAAAGTTTCTTTACTTTGACTTCGCTGACACTTACCTGCTATTTTCCTAGTGGTGCTGTTATTTGTAGTAATGTAGTCATGATTAACTTGGTTTTTTTCTCTCCAACAG